GAACTCTGACCTGGCTGGGGAGGGGTTGTGCTGGGAGGGAGGGATGTTAGGATTTCTCTGGCCTGGGAAGTAGGTGGGGCGGGGGTGCCTCAGGGCTGGGAGGCATGTGTGTCCATGACTGTGTGTGTGTGGGATTCTCTGCTTATCTGTTGACTGTGCCACTGTGGTTCAATATTTTGTGTGTATTTGTAAGTGTGTAAATCCCTCACAGGGCAGTTGTGTGAGCATGTCTGTTATGTGTGAATACCTGGGAGTGTCTGTGCAAAGGTGGATCTTTCTGTACCTGTGTGCTTGTTTGAGTATGTATCAGCCTTGTAAGTGTCTGTGCACGTTGTGGTTCTGTGTATGTGTGTGAGGTATGTATTCGCGAGTGTGTGCATTTGTGCATCTGTTGGTGTAGTAATGTATCAGCTTTGTGACCATGCATCATGGGGATATGTGAAGTTGCATGAGTGTGTTTGGGTATTTAAGAGCATGCACCTGTGTATCTTTGTGCGAGTGAGCATCTGTTATATGTGTGTGCCCCTGTGTGTTGGTGAGTGTGCAAGGGTAGATCTGTTATAGGTGCATGCACCTGGGGACACGTGGGTTTCAATGTTGTGTGTGTGCATCTGTGTGTGCGTGTACAAGGGAAAAGGCAATATTGTATGTGTGGTTGTGTGTTGGTGTGTCAGCCTTGAGGGTATGTGTCTATACTGTGAGTCCATTTTTGTGTTCACGTTGGTCTCTGGGGGTGGGGTTGTGTATGTTCAAATACATATATTCAGGATGATATGCGCACATGTGCCTGTGTCCTTGACACGAGGCTGACCCCACTTATGGGCCCAGTGAATTGGGGCCCATGTGGCATGACTTGTGGTATGCTGGGATCCATGGATACAAGTGTGCCCACATCCTGGACCAAGAGCCTGTTGAGGGCAGGGGGACCACAGATCATGCTGCTGTGTCCATGGAAATCCAGATGGAGAGTCGTGGGTTGTGGGCCCATGTGGGTTTTGGCATGTCCCCACATGTTAGTGTGACAGTGGTGTGATGGTGAAGATGAGAATCTCTGGTCCTCCCCCAGCTCCTGGTACTGTTCAGGTCTTTGAAGTTGGGGGACTGGGATGTGGATTCTGGAAGGAGGAGGCTGGGAGCCTAGAATCCTGGGTTTGAAGGAGGAGAGGGCTGGGGGGCCAGAGTCCTGTGTCTTGAGAAAGGAAGGAACTGAGACCTGGACTCTTGAATCTGAGGAAAGGGGAGTGTGGGGTTCTTAGCCTCTTGAGCCCCCAGAGGACAAAGGACAAAAGTCCTAGACTCTTGGGTTTTGGAGGGTGAACAGTCTTAGGCCCAGACTCCTTGGTTTCCAGAGATGACTTCCTGGGTCCACCTGAGACTATGCAGAATCTGCAGCAGGAGAGCTGAGAGAGTGATCACACCAGGGACTTCCTTGGCTGAGATGGTCTCTGAGGCAGGTCTCCGGAGAGGAGCCAGAAGAATGTTAACAGTGTGGTTTTGTTCCTTTGCAGGTACTGGCCCAGGCCCTGATTCCCTGAAGAGAGGTGAGTGGGGGTCCCACAGGCTGGGGAGAGAGATGTGGAGTGACTGGGCTTGTTCTGAGCCAGCTGGAGGCCTGGAACACTGCCTTGTATGGATTTCAGTGGCGGGGACCAGGTGCCCCCCAGGCTGGGGGGGTAGGGACAAGGTCAGGAACATCGTGTTTGGGTAAGGGCTCGAAAGAACCATGGCATGGGTGGTAGGTGGTGGTCTCAGACCTGGAGGCATCCCCTTTCAGGATGAGTCAAGTGGTCGGAAAAGGGAAGTTTCCACATATCAGTAAAGGATGCAAAAGGGTTTCCTGACGTGATATGACCCTGCATTTGGAGAGTGGCATGGATATGGTTTACCATTGTGTGTGTGTATGTGCATGTATGTGGGAAAATCTCCTGATACTCAGACCTGCTGGTGGTTGAGAAAAAGCCAGAGAAAACGATAATTTAACGCTAATAGCAACTAACATTTATATAGTGTTTACTCTGTCAGCAACTACTCTAAGCATGTTACAGTGTATTATCTCATCTAATCCTCACAATAATCCTGTGAGGCAGGTGCTATCATCCTTGTTTTACAGATGAACACACTGAGGCACAAAGAGAGGAAGTCACCTGATTAAAGTCACACAGCAGGGAATTGGGGTGTGAACCTGGAAAGTTTGGGGCCAGATTCTGTCCGGCAAGGCTGCACTGCCTCTCGATGAATGTTAGCTATTTTCAGTGTTATTATTACAGTTTCAACTTGAGTCCCACCCAAGCTGTGGGACTTCCCGTTGCTTAGATTGTGGTTCTGAGCCCTAGAGACCCTACTACCAAGCAGGTACAGAGCTGGGCCTCCTACCTTGGGAGCGCCACCTCCCAGGCCAGGGTTTTCTGTCCGATGTAGAGCAGTGTCCTGGAGGGAGTGCAAGACAAATTAGTGGGGGGCCTCAGAGATGGTGGGATGCCCTGGCTTTGCCTTTTTCTCTCTTCAGCCGCATCACCGTCTCCCTCAGTCTCTCTCTTTCTTCCCGTCTTTATCTGTCTCTATAACACTCTTACTTTCTCTTCCTGTCTCTCCCCCTCTCCATCTCTGTGTCTCGGTCTCTCTTTTCTGTGTGTGTCTCCTCCACCCAGTTTTTCTGTCTCTCTTTGCTTCAGTCTTACTGTCTCTTCACCTTTCTTTCAGATTCTTTCTCTTGTTATCTCTTTGTCTCTCTCTCTGAATCTGTCTCTCTGTAACTGCGAGTCCATCTCTCCCTCCCCCTCGTCTCTGTCTCTTGGTCCCTTCTCTGTGTCCACAGTCCCCCTCCCCATGGGCCGAAGGATCAAGGCCACATCAGGTCACAGGCCCCAAATGCAGATTCCTGGGAGGTGGGCCAGCAGGGACTGGGGCATGGGGTGGGGTGAAAAGTTTCAGGGACCCCCCCTTCCCATCCTTTTCTCTTCACCCCCCACCCACCCTGTGTTGTGATAGGAGTTGACATGTCGTGGGCTGCAGCTGCCGCAGGGGGAATCCCTGCCGGAAGGTTTTGCCTGGAGCAGAGGCACAGCCTGATTTTGTGTGTGTGTGAGTGTGTGTGTGTGTGTGTGTGTGTGTGTGTGTGTGTGTGTGTGTGTGTAGGCATATATGGGGCCTTGTGTTGTGCCCACTAATGTGAGCATGAAAGTCTGCCCCCTGTGTGGGAGCTCAGCAGAGCCCAGGATGAAACCAGCCTCAGAGAAAGACTTCTCAAGACTGAGCAGGGAGACTGATGTGTTTTTCTCAGCCTCTCCCACCTTCAGACCCCCTCTGCTACAGCCAGAGGTTGCGGGGGGTGTATTACCCTTAACATTTACTGAATACTTACTGTGTGCCAGGCCCGATGCTCAGTGACCCCTATGAGTGAGTTCACTGAACTCTTGCAGCAACCCAATGAAGACAGTACAATTATCAGACCATTTTACAAATCAGGAAATTATGGCCTAGTTAGGGAAAATCATTGGTTTGGGGTCACAGAGCTAGCAAGTTGGGGAAGCCAGGACTTGAACCTGAGTCTATTTGATCTAAAGCCCTTGCTCTTAATAATAGTGCACATTTCTATCTCTGGCACATATTGGACATGATGAAAATAATAATAATTATCCACTTACATGTATTGAACACATTTTATGTGCTGGGCACTGTTCTGAGTATACCATGCTCATTAATCCATTTAATCCTCACAGAGGTAAGGCCTGTTTTTATCTCCATTTTACAGATGAAGAAACCGAGATTCAGAGAGGTTCAGACACTTGCCCGAGGTCACACAGCTAGTAAGTGTCAGAGCTGGAATTTGAACCCAGGGAGTATGGCTTTGAAATCCATGACTTTAAGCCCTAGTCAGCAGTGATTTTTCAAAATATATCATGGGTAGTGGAAGACACAGGCTGGGCCAGATGACATCCCTCTGGTTGTGAGATTATAAGAGGTCTGGGAGCTCCTAGAAGAAGGGCAGAGGTGGGTAGGACACTCAGAGGTGGGGCAGTGGTAATTTACCAAGCAGCAATGGAAATACTGTTATCTATTAACAAGTGCATGCCAGCTGATGATCAGTCTTGTCACTGTTCTAAAGGACCCGCTTGTCAGGAAGGGAGGGATCTGGGTCGGACTCCTAGCAGGAAATCCCAGGGTGGCCAGGCTGGTGGTCAAGCCCTACGCCTGGGTGACCCTTCTCCTTCCTTGCAGATCTCACCTCCCACTCCTCCCGTCTTCCCCCTGCACCATGGCTCCGGGCCCCTTCTCCTCGGCGCTCCTCTCGCTGCCGCCTGCTGCCCTGCCCTTTCTGCTGCTTCTCTGGGCGGGGGCATCTCGAGGCCAGCCCTGCCCCGGCCGCTGCATCTGCCAGAACGTGGCGCCCACGCTGACCATGCTGTGCGCCAAGACCGGCTTGCTCTTTGTGCCTCCGGCCATCGACCGGCGCGTGGTGGAGCTGCGGCTCACCGACAACTTCATCGCGGCCGTCCGCCGCCGAGACTTCGCCAACATGACCAGCCTGGTGCACCTCACCCTCTCCCGGAACACCATCGGCCAGGTGGCGGCCGGCGCCTTTGCAGACCTCCGCGCCCTCCGCGCCCTGCACCTCGACAGCAACCGCTTGGCGGAGGTCCGGGGCGACCAGCTCCGCGGCTTGGGCAACCTCCGCCACCTGATCCTCGGCAATAACCAGATCCGCCGGGTGGAGTCGGCCGCTTTCGACGCCTTTCTCTCCACCGTGGAGGACCTGGATCTGTCCTACAACAACTTGGAGGCCCTGCCGTGGGAGGCCGTAGGCCAGATGGTGAACCTGAACACCCTCACGCTGGACCACAACCTGATTGACCACATCGCCGAAGGCACCTTCGTGCAGCTTCACAAACTGGTTCGCCTGGACATGACCTCCAACCGCCTGCATAAACTGCCCCCTGATGGGCTCTTCCTGAGGTCACAAGGCCCTGGGCCAAAGCCACCCACGCCGCTCACGGTCAGCTTCGGCGGCAACCCCCTGCACTGCAACTGCGAGCTGCTCTGGCTGCGGCGGCTGACGAGGGAGGATGACCTGGAGACGTGCGCCACCCCTGAGCACCTCACCGACCGCTACTTCTGGTCCATCCCCGAGGAGGAGTTCCTGTGTGAACCTCCATTGATCACTCGGCAGGCAGGCGGCCGGGCCCTGGTGGTGGAGGGCCAGGCGGTCAGCCTGCGGTGCCGTGCTGTGGGTGACCCTGAGCCAGTAGTGCATTGGGTGGCACCTGATGGGCGGTTGCTGGGGAACTCGAGCCGGACCCGGGTCCGGGGGGATGGGACACTGGATGTAACCATCACCACCTTGCGGGACAGTGGCACGTTCACTTGCATCGCCTCCAATGCCGCCGGGGAAGCCACGGCACCGGTGGAGGTGTGCGTGGTGCCTCTGCCTCTGATGGCGCCCCCACCGGCCGCCCCACCACCTCTCACCGAGCCTGGCTCCTCGGACATCGCCACACCTGGCCGACCTGGTGCCAATGAATCTGGGGCTGAGCGCCGGCTTGTGGCTGCCGAGCTCACCTCCAGCTCCGTGCTCATCCGCTGGCCAGCCCAGAGGCCCGTGCCTGGCATCCGCATGTACCAGGTCCAGTACAACAGCTCCGCAGATGACTCCCTTGTCTACAGGTGGGTGCTGCAGTCCCAGGACCTCCTCCCACCCCAGGGGCCCTCCCTCCCATCTGCCGGCTCACTAGGCCTTCTTGCTCAGCTGGGGTTCTAGATGGGTATGTAGAGTGGTCTCCGGCTCTCATTTGCCGTATTTTCTTCTCTCTCTCTTTCTGTCTTACTATCTTTGTGTTTTTTACTGTGCATTTCGCATATCTTCGTTTAGCACCCACATGAGCCAGACCAGGGCTGGGCACTGGAGTTATAACTGTGAATGCACCCAGCATGATCCCTGCTCTCACGGGGCTCATGGTCTACATCACTGCTCGCCAAAGGTGTCTGATTGTCTACCTTGTCAGTTAAACATTCTAGAGCATGAAATATACTCACACATATATATTTACAGTTACATTTATATTTGGAAATTATATACCAGTGCTACTGTATCAATACATTGGGTACATTATAGAAACAGAAAAGTATGAGAAAAAGATATAAATACAAATTATTTCCACCATCCATTGGGTTAGAAGCCATTGCCCCGGTGAGGACAGACACGTATGGTGTAGACAGATGTTAAAGAGTTACTTTCCCCCATCATCTGTTTTTCTCTTGTTCTCGCCATGTCTCTGTCTGTCTGTACCTTCTCTCCCTCCTGCCCTCATGAGGCACTAAGCCCCTGCTCTCTGCTAGGCCCTGAGCTGGGTGCAGGGAACACAGGGAGACCAAGAGAGCAGTCCCTGCCCTCAGGGACCTCATAGCCCAGAGGGAGGAGGCAGTACACGATGAATTAACAGCCTTGGCCTTGCGTTGCCTCTCCCGCTGGGTAGTTTTTGAGTGTGGCTCACAGCCACAGACCTGGCACACAGTGGGAGAGTTTGATAGGTGGTTGTGGACTCTGTGGACGTCTCTCCTTCATCCTGGCTCTGCCTCCCTTGGGCACACTGTAGAGTGCCCGCTGAATGCTTAATCCTGTGTTTGACTTCACTTGGGGGTGCCAGAGGGGGTGGAGCCATTTCCCCACCCGTGGGCAACCTCAGATCTTGGGGGTGCTCAGACCTGCACTGAGAAGTCTGCCTCTTGGGCTCCATCTTCACCTTGCCCAGTGTTCTCTTGGCCACGGTCCTGGCACACAGTAGGCACTTTCCCATTGTTGGTTGAATGAGTAGATGCCTCCCTTTTCTCTTGTCTCGGCCATCCTCATTTTCCTCTCTTTTTGAATCTGGTCACCAAACACTGAATAAATGCCTACTGCATGCCAGTTTCCATGCTGGGCCTGGGCCTACCAAGATGGATCAAACACTGGCCCAGTCTTACAAACATTAGGGCAAACAAATGAACAAAACAAAAACTTTTATAACGTTCTACCAAGGATTCTACTCCATTTGACCTTCCCAACTCCGCTGTGAGGCAGCCATGATCCCCCTCCCATTTTACAGACAGGAAAAGTGAGGCTCATTTGGGGGCAGTCACTTGCTCAAGGTCACACAGAAAGAGGCAGAGCCAGGATTCCAGTTCTTACCCTTCTAACACCTAATTCTGCCCTTTTTACACTGAACACATGTTTATCGAGCACCTACTGTTTGCCAGGCAGGGATTAGGGGAGATGGATAATACATTTCTGTAAACAGCTCTTGGTTTCTGTGACTCTCCACCTCTCTCTTTCTCTTTTCCTTCTCTCTCTAACCCATAGTCACTACATGATGGAGTGGAGGGAGGTTTACAGGTCCCCAGACCCTGCATGTATGCCGACGTTGGTGGCCCTCTGTCTCCAGCTGGGCAACAGACCCTGGGACTCTTCCATTCCCTGTAGGGCCACAGTTCCAATCCTCCGTCCCCCACAGCAGGCGCCTGTGCTACAGCACTGCAGGGGTTAACTTCCTCACTGCCGCCATGGGCGGAGGTGACAACCAACCAGAAGCCTGCTCTGCTGCTTGCTTGGGTCTTACAGCCAGTTAGAGACACATGAGCTCAAGCTTTCTTAAGGAGCCAGCCTCTGTCCTTGAAAAGGGGAGAGTCCCTAGCAACTGGTTATTTTGGGGGAAGGAGCGAAAGGAATCCAAGGCTCTTTGAGAAGGGATGATGAGAGGAAGAGGAAGACTTAGAGCCAGGGGCCCAAGGTTGGATGGGGTTGGGGGGGCAGTGGTCTGTGAAATGGCAGGCAGGGGGAGAGTCAGAGAGGTGGTTGGCCTTTATGAGGTGGTGAGGGCCTTACTTGAAGTCTTTCTGTGGGAGGACGGCTCTTGGTGGCGGTGGAACCTTCTGGAGGTGGAGGAACTGAGGTGGGTTTCAGGACCAGAAGATGGCCTGTGGAGATGGGGGCATGGCCTTTAGAGGAGGTGGCGCTCCTGCAGCATAGTCCCCACGCAGAAGAAGAGGCGGTTCTTGTCTCTGGTGACCCACTAAGAGCTTTGTGGGAGAGGAGAGCTTGCGAGATTGAGTGCATGCAAATCTATGTGGATGTGGCAGTCCCAGGTTAGCTGAGGCTGGACATGAAAGGGATGTGCCCAACAGAAGAGGGGCAAGGCCTAGCGGGAATGGCCTTATAGATGCGGAGGAGCACAGCTGGCAGGAGAGTGTGAGCCACAGCAAGGGTTACTGGCTAGCATCGTGTGGGACGCAAGCTGTTAGTGAAATCATTAAGTGCCAGGCTTTGGCTATGTTAACTCATCATACTTCACGTCATCTCTATGGAGTAGGAATTGTTAATACCCCCATTTGGGGGAAATGAGACACAGAGAGGTTAAGAAACTTGCCTGAGGTCACAGAGCTAGCAAGGAGCAGAAGAGAACTCAAACCCTGGCATCATGGCTCTCAGACTTTGTCAGCTTAACCACTTCTCTACACTGCTGCTCATTTGAGGGCAGGGGCCCATAGCAGGAAAGGAGCATGCTTTCTTGGCTACATTTGCCCCAAGTATGGATGAAACTTACCGGGGGGCATGATTTAGTGACTTCAGGCAGTATAGGGGCAGGGCATGCACAAAGTGGTTGCCTTTATTACCTGGACACGTGCGGGACATGCAAAGAGTGGACACGGTCCTAGGCACAGTAGGGGAACCATCTCCAGTGGACCGTTGTGGGGTGTGGCTTGGAAGGCACCTGTCAATCAGAAGGGAAGTGGCCTTTAGCCCTGGACCCTTAGTAGGTGGAAATATGTAGTTGAGGGGCTTGGAAATTGTCCCAGAAGATAGATGCAGCTACGAGATGTGTATAGCCAAGGATGTACAGATGAGGGGGAGTGGTCTGTATCATGGTTTCCCCGAAAGGACAAGAATGTGCAGAAGAGAGGAACTAGAAGAGCACCCATTGCCCCAGTAGGAGTAAGACGGGGTGTGAGGTGACCTCACTGTCCACTTGAGTGGGGGTGGGGCATGCAGGTAAGGGGGCGTGGCCTGTAGCATCCATCCCCTTAAAGGTGGGAATATGTAGATAAGAATGCTTGAATGGCATTTGTCCTAGTAGGAATGAGACACTGCTAGGGAGCATGCCCCTTGAGGGCAGGGCATAAAAACTGTAGCATTCCTCCCTGGCAGGGGTCAGGATATGTAGATGAGGGTAGATGAATGGCTAAAATTATCCTAGTAGGTGATGAGACACGGACAGGAGGTGGGTCTGAGGGTGGGGCATGCAGATAAGGGGCATGAGCTGTATCAAAGGTCCTGAGAGAGGGTAGGAATTTGTTGCTTGAATGGCTGCTGTTGTCCCAGTAGAGGGTGAGACACTGGTAGGGATGTATCCTTCGGTCCCCCCGGGTGGGACATGCAGCTGAAGCATCGTGGTTCGGAGTGGAGCTAACCCCGCGCTGATCCCGCCCCCTCCCGCAGGATGATCCCATCCACCAGCCAGACCTTCCTGGTGAATGATCTGGCAGCGGGCCGTGCCTACGACCTGTGCGTGCTGGCCGTCTACGACGATGGGGCCACAGCGCTGCCCGCCACCCGAGTGGTGGGCTGCGTGCAGTTTACCACGGCGGGGGATCCCGCGCCCTGCCGCCCACTGAGGGCCCATTTCTTGGGCGGCACCATGATCATCGCCATCGGGGGTGTCATTGTCGCCTCCGTCCTCGTTTTCATAGTTCTGCTCATGATCCGCTACAAGGTCTACGGCGATGGGGATGGCCGCCGAGTCAAGGGCACCTCCAGGTCGGCTCCGCGGGTCAGCCACGTGTGCTCTCAGACCAACGGCGCAGGCGCAGGCGCAACGCAAGCCCCGCCCCCGCCGGCGCAAGACCGCTACGAGGCGCTGCGCGAGGTGCAAGCTCCGGCTGCGGCGGTGGCCGTCGAGGCAAAGGCCGTGGCGGCCGACACGGCTTCCGCGGAACCGGAGGCGGTCCTTGGACGCTCCCTGGGCGGCTCAGCCACCTCGCTGTGCCTGCTGCCGTCCGAGGAAACCTCCGGGGAGGAGTCCCGGGCCGCGGCTGGCCCTCGGAGGAGCCGTTCTGGGGCCCTGGGACCGCTGGCTTCAGCGCCCCCCACTTTAGCTCTGGTTCCTGGGGGAGCCCCGGCCCGGCCGAGACCGCAGCAGCGCTATTCGTTTGACGGGGACTACGGGGCGCTCTTCCAGAGCCACAGTTACCCGCGCCGCGCCCGGCGGACAAAGCGCCACCGGTCCACGCCGCACCTGGACGGGGCCGGAGGGGGCGCGGCCGGGGAGGACGGAGACCTGGGGCTGGGCTCCGCCAGGGCGCGCCTGGCCTTTACCAGCACCGAGTGGATGCTGGAGAGTACCGTGTGAGCGGCTGGCGGGCGCCGGGATGCCTGGGTGCTGCGGACAAACGCCCAGCCGCCCGGACGCCGGGGCAGGACTCGGGGGACAAAGCGCGGAGCCAAGACGTCGGACTGCAGGGGAGGCGTGCCTTTCTCCTCCCTGGAGGGGGTGGGCGGCCTGGGCTGCGGCTCGAAGTCACGCCCCCGCGTTTAGGGGGGTTTGAGGGTGGGCCGCCGAGCTCCTCTCCCCCACAGACTTTAAGCCCCCCTCCTGCCCCTCCCCCCGCGCGCTCGCGGACCTCGCTGGAGCCGGTGCCTTACACAGCGAAGCGCGGGGAGGGGCAGGGCCCCCCGACACTGCAGCACTGAGACACGAGACCCCTCCCCCAGCCTGGGACCCGGGGCAGGGGCGAGGGACCCATTTCTTGTATCTGGCTGGACTAGATCCTATTCTGTTCCGCGGAGGCCTCCAAAGCCCCCACCCCCACCTCATTCAATTCCCTGGTCCCGTCGGGTCTGGCTTGGGGTGCCCCTTTCTCTGTTCCCTTCGTTTGTCTCTGTCCCGCCCTCTGTCGTCTCTGTCTTACGTCCTTCCCTGTTTGTCTCTTTATTTCTCTGTCCCAGTCATCTCTTCTCCCTCTGAACTCCCGTATTGCGTCCAGCCTCCTTGTCTCTCCAGATTATATCTCCCCAGTACACATTCTCCCGGGCAGGTCCCACTGGAAGGACCAGACTCTCCCCTATTCCTTCCTCTTAACCCCCAAATAAATCCCCACATGAACAAAATCCAAAACCAAATCCCCCTCCCTACCGGAGCCGGGACCCTCCGCCGCAGGAGAATTAAACATTTTTCTGTGTCTGAGGCCACTCTGCTGACCTCTGTGTGTGTCCATGTGTCTTGGGGAGGTTGAGGGCGAGGGTGACCTAGATTACAGCGTAAGGGCTCTTAAGTGAGACTGAAGGTAGGACAGCTAACTGGGCCCAGGAAGATTTGCAGACAGTTTCCTACCCTCTGAGAGACTTAGAGGTGGGGAATAATATGTCAAAAACAAAACAAACAAACAAAACCCCAAAGGCACAAACAATAGCTAAACCAAGCACTTAATTCGTTTAATCCTCACAACAGCCCTAGGACATCAGTACCATTATCCCATTTTATAGATGAGTAAATTGAGGCCCAGAAGTAAAGTAACTTGACCCAGGTCACATAACCAGAAGGTGGCAAAATTGGGTTTTAAAAAGGCAGGCAGTTTTCTGAGTCTTTAGTGCTGAGCAGCTAGGAAATATTCATTCTACACATAGGCATTGTGCTGAGCACAGCTCATCTCGGACGGCTGTTGGAGGCAGATGCATTTGGTCCCATTTTACAGACAGGAATCTGCACCCGAGAGCGGTGAAGTCACGTGCCCGAGGCTCCCCTGGTGAAGAAATTGGAGACTTGGCAGTTTGACCTCAGTATCTGTTCCTCACCACTACCAAATGTAGCCTGTGATGTCTGTGTCTGGAGGCTGGGCAATGGCCCCAAGGACCTTAGTTAGCTGAGCATGGGTATCCAAAGCCAGCCTAGTGGGGGAGGGGACGAGGGAAAGGGCTCATTGGTCATGCTGTCTGGAATCTGAGGGCTCTTAGGTAGAGAAGGGGTCTGCTTAGGGCGCAGGGCTTGGTGTGGGGAGGGGAGTTTCTCAGGTGAGGGTGTGGGCTGTGGCTGGGGAAGGGAAGTTGTTTTGGCCGGTTGCAGTGAAA